TTCATATGTCAAGACATTCAAGAAATCTCCTAGAGCATACAAAAAGATTTCAACCCCTTTTCTCCGTTCAAAGAAACAGCATCTCCAAGCAATTTCTTCTCAAATGGAGTTGCTCTGCAGATAGGGAGAGAATGGAGCACAAACAAACCCCAAACCACTAATTGCCAGCCAGGTTAGTAGCCCTTACTGAGAAGGTGTAGAGAAGAGAGATATGGCAGTAATGTTCACGCAATTTATTGATTAAGATGTCTGCATATATTATTAACAAGTTCCCTATAATATCTCCTTTCATTACGTAGTAAATATCTTCTATACTCATCCAGGGATATACCGAAGGAAACAAACTCTGTTGAATCTTATCATTCTAGTGGTTATCTGCTGTCACGGTTATTTGTTGGCCGAATATCTCTGTACCTCTTTTAATGGAGTTTTTTTTTTTAAAAAAAAATAGGATGCTTGTAAAAATTATTTATAAAAATAAGGTTGTTGTAATCTTATTTATTAAAATAAGATGGTTTTTGCCATGTAGATCAAATCTCATAGACATGTCATTTTTTTTTCAATGCTAATGAGTCATTTAACACGTCAGCTTTATTTTTATTTTTTTCCTAAAAATTTATCTTATCATCCTAAAGTCTGCATTCTTCATCTTCTTTTTACAACCGAAAAATCTCTTTCATTTTTCCAACGAGAAGCAATTTTTGTTAAGATCAGCCTATGAATGATTTGAAGTTATTAGTTTCGTGACCAGTTCAATTTTTTAAAAAAGGTTCAGAATGGAAAAACTAGTTTTGCAATTTATGGCATCTGAATCAAATTGTTTTGCCTTTGTCAAGTCTGGTTCTATGATTATTTGTGATATATTTCCTAGGTCATGAGTGTTATAGTCTCTTTTTTTTTTTTTTGCTTGTATGGATAGTTACAGAGCTTTCGTGATTTTTTCATTTAAATTTGTTTGGCTGTGTGAATAATGTTTGAAGTTCACATGAACTCCAAGTTCAATTTATGGCTGTATACATCTGCCTGCGTGTGGAAATTTTAATCCGTTCCATCGTTTACTTAAAGAGTCTTGTTGTATGATTACTGTTTCAGCAACTAGTTACCATCTGTAGATTTTTTTATTAGAAACTGTCCTTTCTTTACTAATAGCAGATGCCTTAATGCTAGGATGGGTAGAATCGGAAAGGATAATTGGGATGATGAATGCTCTGTCATTGGGCGAGATTGGGTCTATATGCAAGCCATTCTTCTCCTTTCTTCAGTACCCCTGACCAAGCGAGGGAAATATCTGAAAAGCCTGAAGGTGGCAGTAACTCTAAATCACCTATAAAAGCTCTCAAACGCATCAAGAATAGTCCAGGTGAATTTGGCTTCCTAAAATACTAGAAAACCTCTACTACAAACCTGAATAAATGAAAGATATACTTGCAATCCAATATGCATGTGGGAATAACTATCTTTAGGTTCCTCTTCATAGCTCTAATGGGTGGCTTGCTTATCTTGTTGTCTCAATAGGCAAATATTGAGAGATAATCTCATCCTAAACGATGACCAAAAATAGCAAGCTTCTCTTTAGATACCCTACTAGGCCTCCCTTCGCTAAGGAAAGGCACAAATCTTTGTCCACAACGAGGAAAGGCTACTTCATCCACATTAGAACTTGTCTCCCATCTAGAACTCCTGCTAGGGACAGCCCCGAATGTACTTTCGGCCCTCTCTAAATCTACCATTTTGGCTCAAACAAAGAAGTGAAGAGAAAAAAGAGAGGGTTACCTATCGAAAGCTTTGACAACCTACTAGAAATGAGATCTCTTTTGTAAAACTGTGGGTCTATATAAAGAACCTCCACACTGGACTAAGAAAAGCCTCAAGTGTAATACAAATTAAGACCCCTCTCAAATCTCAAATCACACTCGACAATTCGCCAAAGGTTCCTTACAGCAAAAAACAGAAGTTAGTGAAAGCAAGAAATGAAAAACCTACCAGTTATATGTAGGAAGAGAAGCACGAGCTCCTACATCTTATTCAAACATACCAACTCTAGCAACAAGCCCAATCTAACACGGTCCAACAAAAGACAATGGTGGGTCAGACATGCCAATCAATGAAGATGACAACTAACGAATTTTTAGGAGCTCCAAAAGGCATAGTCTTTTCACACCTCCAGAGTTCTCTGGCGTGCGAAAACTTACCCCTTATTTGGATATTTCCTCTTGGGAGGAAAGAAAAGAGAGAAAAAAAGTGAGAAAAAAGAAAAAAGAGAAAAAAGAAAATTATTTTCCATTTGTTATTTGGATAAGAGTAGAAATGAAAAGAAAGAAAATATATTTTTCTTGTTTGGATAATTGTAAAAAGAGGAAGGAAAGAAAATATATTATTATATATTTACTATAATACTCATATGCTTATATTTCTATATTTAAATACTTATAATAAATTTGTATGAATATTTTTTTTCATGAAAATAACACAAATGATAATAAAATAAAAATCTAGCATGTAGCATCTCTCCGAAATGATAAGATGGATAATGAATCATCTACATAGAATAATCGATAACTCGTTTATTAATTAATTAATTAATTTAATAGCCAATTTAAATTAATTATCAACATAAAATTAATTTAAATATGTATAACATGTATTTTATCTATGCATATAATAGTTAGTTGCTTTTACCCATAGTTTTCTCCGCTTTTTTTTAATTAAAAATTACTATTTAGCAATTAAAAAAAGAAGAGTATATTGTAGCATTGCAAACAATCATGGAAAGTCAATTGAATCACAAAAAATGAGATAAATTGCATATCCGGACGAGATAGGTATAATCCGTTACTCGAGTGAACACTCCAAATTTACTCGTAAAATTTACGAGTTCTTGAAAACCCAAGGTAGCTTTTATTGCTTATTTTCCTATCAAAAGGACTCAATCAAATGCAACCTACAACATCATGTTGTGGATGCCAACAATTCAACACACGAAAATATGTTTAGCCTTTTTTGTTTTTTAATAATAATTTTTATTTCTTCTTTTGCGGTAACTCCAAAAAGTGTTTGAGTGGTCGTTTTTAGGGATGTTTTGTATCTGTTTTGGTGGGTTTTTTGGGTGGTTTTGAAGCTGGTTTGGGGGTGTTTTTGGAGCTTCTTCGGCGGTTCAAATGACCTATCCAAAAGGGTTGCTTTGTAAGGGTTTTGGTTGGGCTGTTGGTAATAGTTTCGAGCTGAGTTTGGGAGCTTTGGGTAGGTGTTTGGTCTCGTTTTGGGGTTGGTTTTAGGCCTATTTTTTTAAGGTTTTTTTGGGTATTTTTGAAGCTGGTTTGGGGGTGTTTTTGGAGTTGCTTTAGTGGCTCAAATGACTTGTCCAAAGGGGTTGCTCTGTAAGAGTTTTGGGGGCTGTTGGTAACGAGTTGAAGAGCTAAGTTTGAGGGCTTTGGGTAGGTGTTGGGTCTGTTTTGGAGTTGGTTTTAGGCCTATTTTTTGAGGGTTTTTTGGGGTTTTTTTTGGGTGGTTTTGAAGTTGGTTTGGGGGTGTTTTTGGAGTCTGCTTCGGTGGTTCAAATGACCTATCCAAAAGGTTGCTCTGTAAGGGTTTTGGGGGGTCGTTAGTAAAAATCTTTTTTTTTCCCATTTTTTATGGAACAAAAAATAAATGAAGGTGCACGTGTGAGATATTGTGAATATATATTAATATCGACGGAGTTGAATTGATGATTATCATTTTTAGTAATTTGGGTGGGATGTCAAAAAGTATCGCTAAGTGTATTAATCAAATGGTTATTTCTATAACTTTTTTTTAAACAATTATCAATATATTTTTCATCAATTATCAAAAAAATTGATAAGAATCATAATTTATTTGATGAATTTAGGAGTATCCCATATCAAATACTATAATTGTTTAAGTTGCAAAAAATTGCATGTACTTGCTACAATTTTGGATGAACTTTTCTTTTTGATTTGCGGATACGGTTCACTACACCAAAAAAAAGGCATTGGAGGCGGTTTTTTGGCTTCTAGAGGCGGTTATAACCGCCTCTAAAGATTGTAGAGGTAGTTTTAAGGACCGCTCCAAGATCGCTCGCAATGCCGCTGTCTCTACGGTGTAGAGGCGGTTTTGGCAACCGTCGGGGATTTCGAGGTGGTTTCTGAGGCGGTTCAAACCGCCTCAAAAATTTTTTTGAGATGGTTTAAACGAGCTTCTATGGTACAAATATTATCATCAAAGTTTTTCGATGCGTAATTTTTTAGACGGTTTAGAACCGCCTCTACATTCCGAAAGTTACAAATTCAAAACGCCCCAAACTATAAAATTCATAATTTGTAGAGGCGGTTGTAACAACCTCTACGTTCCAGATTTTATAATTCATGTGGAATAAATGAATTTTATTCCAAATTTATACGAATTTTATAATTCATCCTTCGAATTCAATTTTTTTTTGTCAATAAATGGAAAAAAAAAGTTAATCTTGTTGAATGCAAATAAAAGAAAAATTATATAGCTTACACAATATTCTTAAATTTGTAATTATTGAATCCCAAATATATAAAAAGTCTTCAAACATTCACAAGTAAAAAAATAAAAATAAAAAACTAAAGGCTTAAACACTTGTTCAAAATACATAAACAAAATTCCAAATATAGTTTAAAATAAGTGGCTAACAAAAAAAAATCATGTTTTTATGGAAATGTTTCATTTCGACGGATGACTTGATTATGATGAGCGATTAGGAGAAAAAAACATCTTGACCATTACCATCATTGCGAACCTATCAAAAGCACAATTTGAAAGTAAGAAAAAAAAACAATAATATAAATATAGATAAAAACTCATTAAAAATATTTTAAGATCAAGAAAAAAACATACAAGGCATATACAACTTCCAAAGAATATTAAGTACCTCCTTGATTGTAGCTTTAACGGGAACACCAAGTACAAGTCGCTCCATTTATCCAACCATCTTTAAGGACCTAGTCACAAACAATTACCATTTACTTGGAAAGTCATTTATCTACGATGAAGTAATAGTATATATCCACAGTTGATGTATTCGCACAAGGAAGTATTTTGATCCAACCTTTTCCACATCCGCCACTCGAGACCGGAGGTCTTGCTTGAATCATGGACACAAACAAGCTCGAGTTCTTGAACAAGACATATACAAGTGCATAAAAAATTCACTCGCGAAATATAAGAATACAATTTCTCAAACGTTCACCATGAGTTTGAGTACAAATATAATAGCCCATTGAAATACAAAGTTCGAAAAAGGAAATTCAATGCATCTCATTTGTTTTTGCAAGTGACCAAATCAATGGTCAACATTTGATATATAATATTAACGGGAAATGTAGTCTCTCATTTGATCCGACGGTAGAGAGTGATACCATCACCAATAAAAAGCATACAAATTTCAATCCCGGGGTCAGCGAGCAAGTGCCTTGTTGAGCTAAAGTCCCGTAGTATCTCACATACTTCCTCATTAGTGCATCGAGTGGTGCCACCACGGATCCATTCCATAGGGTGTTGTCATATCCAATCAATCCACCAACTTTGACAAGCTCAATCAACCTCTTGTGGTAGTTAATATAGTTGTCATTGTCGGCATCCACAAAGATGAAGTCAAAAGTCCTATGGTACTTGCCATGTCGTTTCCCATGCGGAATAGTAAGCTTAGTAACATTATAATATCTCAAATTGAAAAAACGAGCAATATTTCTTTTTCTCGGACAAGTAAACAAACAAGGAAGTTTTTCCTTTTTCCATTTTTTTTTTTTTGTCAAGCATAGAATATTTCTTACATCTTCAATCATTTGATCAAGAAGCGGCGAGAGCGGGGCCTTCCTTGAAATCAATCTTGTGTGCAACACCAGCTTTCTAAATCACCGGGAGACCCAATTCATAGTTTTCTTTGTTGATGTCCATAGCCAAGATCTACAACAATCACAAACGATATTCCAATTTCATTTTTTATCATCACTCGATTTAATTTTTTTTTGAATAATTAAAATATGATTTACAACTGAAATTTTTTTAAGTTTTTAGTTTACCTTCCCATCCTCGGGGATAGCAAGGGCGAGTGGCAAGAGAGAATAGGCGAGTGTAAACACCAATCTCCATAGTGTTCTTGGCATTGATAAGCTTCAAAAGCATGTTCAAAAATTGCCCTTCATCGACAGATGTGGTCATGATGTTCCTGTTTCCCACCATTCACATCAAATTCATTAACATCACACCAAAAACATTAATATAAATATAGATATAAACCACACCCTAATTGCATATGGTTTTCTCAATTTGCTTCGCTAAACAATGCCCTAAGTAATTACTAGAAGATTAATAATGTCAAGCATCAATGATATGACGAGTAACATTGTGTTGGGGTAATTTTCTCCACTCGCAATTCTACATACAACACCCCACCCTAAAATCATAGAAACATCTCTTCTAGGTCTAGAGGTAGGCATGTATTAAAAATGCTACAAGATTATAAGTACAAGCTATCAATAAAGAGTAATTGAATTTCTCTGCAAAGAACTAAGAAAAGAAAGAAAACTTATTCATTAAAAAAAAAAACCTAAACCCCAACACAAATTAACAAGTGGGTTTTGGTCGCTTCAAACAAATTTCAAGTTTATTTCTCTCGAAACGAAACGGAAAATTGAAATACTTGGAAGGAATCAATTCAAGCGACAACGAGACAAATGAAGTACTAACCTTGGAAATGAGATTAGGGCGACCCAAGGAATAAGGAATTGTTGGCTGATTTGAGTAAATTACTTCAAGTGACGAGTGAGACAAATGAAGTACTAACCTTGGAAATGAGATTGGGGCAAGCCAAGGAACAAGGTATTGTTGGGCGATTTGAGTAAATTACTCTCTGTTGCTATCAAATTGAAATTCAATGGTTCACAAAGCAGATTTGATATATATAAGAGAGAGAGAGAGTTTGAAGAAGAAAATAGAAACGAAATACAAGTAGAAGGAGAAACTATTAAATATTAAAAAAAGAAAAAATAAAGAAGAAGCGAGTAGAAGACGGAAAAAGAAGAGGAGAACAAGAAGAGTGAAGAAGGAAAACTCTGTGTTGATTTGCAGATTTGTTTCGTTCTTGCAGCGGTTTACAAAGGAGAGGGATGATCGAGAGGCGAGAGGGCAAAAACGTGATCACAAAAAAAGAATGAAGTACCACATTTTTCCTTTCATTTCCTCCCAATTTTGGGAGGAAAATGGGTCCCACTTAAAATATGTTTTTTTATTTTTTTCTTTCCATTGCTTTCCTCTCTTAACCAAACGGAGGAAAACATTTCTTTCGTCCCTATTTTCTTTCCTTTCCCCCACTTTCCTCCCTATCCAAACAAGGGGTTAATCTCCCCTATAAAACGACACGAGTTTTGGAGCACCAAGCATTAAATAGCACTCATCTCCATCAATCAAACAAAAAATAAGACAAGTAAAAACAACTCTTTTTCCATCTTGAGCATTAGAGATATTCCTCCTAGAGAGCCCGACCATTTCATGTTAGTGCGGCCAAACATGCTTGTGAAGATTCGGAGGGACTATTCATGAGTTCGTTTGATGAATATCATTCGAGTATCCCAAGCGAGACCACACCCGTGGGTACGATCCTCACTTGAAACCAACAACCTTCCAAGGATCTGGTTAGTGTCTTAATATGATGTCATTACCCCCCACTATACTAGATGTTAGTTCCGAAACGAAGAAGATACTCTTCACCTACTATCACAATAGAAAAAAACATGCATTTAAGGAAGACATCCTTTCAAGACTATTTTTATCCAATCAATGCTAGTATTGACACTATTAGAAAAGAAGTCATCATAAAAGAGGACATATGTTCTCTAATTCGGAGTTAGGGACTCGTCGACTACTAAGAAATAAACTATTCTAGCATAATAAAATCTCGTGCATATAAAAAGCCTAAATACCAAAGGTTCTAGGTTTTCATCATGCCTTTTTTACTCTATATTATTGCTCACTATCTTATACACATACAAAGATACATGCAAAACCTACTTAGGCATTTCCTCTATTTGATCACTAATTTAACCATTAAAGGATCTCTCAATTTATCAAAAGAACTTCTTTTGTAGGTAGCTTGAGAAGAAAAATCTTCTTAAGTCAACGATCTCCATCGTTAATCTTTAAGCATAGAGAGTTATGTAATCAATAATTACATTTTGAGTTTCTAAACTCATTATTTACCTCTTAATTTCTTATTAGTTTGAAATAATCATATTCGGATCATCACATACATGGATTTAGAAGTGTGCGCATAATGTGTTTCTACCCTTTTCATTAACAAAAATTACCATAATTTGTTGAATAACATATGCCCATAAAAAACAACCCATTTATCATTATTTTTATTTGTTCCTTATTGTCTTATCTTTAATATTTGACATTTTATCAAACAATACTTTGAGTTGGTACGAAAGGATAATGCTATCTTATTTCGGATGTACGAACGAAGCAATTTATTAAGCATTTTGTTGGTACAAAGCATTTTAGTTTTTAATGTCCCGATATTATTTGTTTCGAATGATTATTGGAACGAAGCATTTTAACGTAGAATTTAAAATGTTTAATCATAGTTTTATTTATTGTACTTTGTCTTGAGTGCTAAAGTAATCCTATCTTACTTCGAATGCTATACTTACGATCATATGCTTTACTTTAAATGGATTGCTTGGGTTTTCAATTTACTTTGTTTTGTACTTTTCAAGAAATTATGTTCTTGGGATTTAAAACATGTTCAACTCGTTGGTTTTCCTATGAAGTTATGGAAATATTACTTGTGGCGCCTCCGAGCTCCCTTCTCGATTACCTAAAAAGCGTAGGCTGGGTGTAACACGGTTTAGAGACCGAAGTCTCAAATTTAATCTCATACACATACACAATGTATTGAATATCATTATAAAAATTATAAAATATAATTTACAACCAAAGATAGATCCTATAATTTTCGCATCACACATGAACCATTTTACGAGAGGCAACCGATGACTTCATTATCGGCATTAGTATCACCTTTACATATCATGGAATGAAATAAACATAAAGTGAGCCGAAGCTCGGTAAGTAGGGTGATGCACATGATATGCAATGATTTTCCGACTTCCCCCACTTTGACTCATACAATTTTAATTTTGGGTATCCTGGGTATTAGCAAGTTTACTCTATTTTTAATCCAAGTGATCCACGAGATCACCTTTTGCTAGAACGGAATTATCCCTCGTTGTACCACCGTTAGCTCGGAATCCATCATCTAACGGTGCGGGCATACAGACTTAGAGTACGCACACAGCTAGACCGCTAATACCTTTTTTTATCTAGTAGGTTACCAAATCTATCCAAATTCCATCCGATTCGGTTACCAAACCTCATCGCTTTCGACTCAATGATTTTTCTCAATTTAATCCATTCTCATATGCATATGATGCACGTGATGTATCATGAATCACATTCTATCAAGTCATGGGTATTAAACCCGTCGATTCTATACTATTGAATTCACACAAGGAATTCAAAACTCGTCTAATAGGGTTAATTCATTTCACGTATCATGAACCATATTCCATATTAGTGCAAAGAAACCGTTTTGAAACTCAATTTCTAAAAGTCGAGTTTAAGCCGAGTGTCTCCCGACAAAATTCAAATTTATGTTTTTCTTAGGATCTAACCTTTCTACACTTTATTTCATACCTACTTAAGTATATTTAAACCATTGATTCATAATTTGGGTGAACGATATTCAAACCCGAGTTCTAGGGTTTTCGTACGAATGTTTCAAATAAGGGCAAAGGTTTATCTTTTGTTCTTAAGTCCTTTCTTCTCATCTTAATGTATTAAATTATACTTACGTGGATTACCTTGGAAGTCTAGATCTTTAGGTCCATAATATAAATCCAACTTGATCATTTTAATACCAAGGTCCACTAAATGTTCTTAAGATATCAAAGTCCATTTATTTTCATCCAAACTCATTTTGTTTTAGTCCAAGCCCATTTATTTTAATCCAAGCCCAATTTCATTTATTGTAATTCAATTCCATTTTATTTTAATCCAAGCTCATTTTATTTTAACTCAAGTCCATTGATTGTAATCCAAACCGCTTTTATTTTAGTCCAAGACCAAGTTGTTTTAGACCAAGTCTATGTGTTTTATTTCTAAGTCTACTTTATTTTAAATCCAAGCCCATTCATACATATCTTCCAAACCCATATGGTTATATTAGGATGGCTTAGGTGTCTAACTAAATACTTAGGCTAACTAAACACCATAACTAATCAAGTTTAAGTATATAAACTCATTTCTCTCTATTAAATTTCAGAAATCCCTCTCCCTAAACTCGAAAATTTCCAGTAGTGGTATATCCAAATGATCTGTACTAAATCGGTCATAACTCTTTATATGTAGGTCTAAAAATCATGAAACTTTACAGAGAGCTAGTAAACACATAGATGAACAACTTTTATTCTTTGAGTTTTACTCAGAAATCACTCTAAGATCCTTAAATAAATCATACCAAGTTCAGAATTTTTCCACCCATAAAATTACAAAAAAAGAAAAAAAATTCTTTTAAAATTTTTAAAACACATTTCTCTAACCAACCCATCACATGTGTATAACCATCCATCATCATATATATACATGGCATACTTACACATTCTAACACAAAATTTACCATGAAATGCACATCCAACATCCATAATAAATCCATTATCAAAACATCATAAATCCATCATCGAACATCAAATTTTTAACATCAACACAAACTACCATAAGCACATATTACATGGCTTAAGCAAACTCATAAAATAAACATGAAAATTTAAATTTTTAAGATATAAATAAAGCTAAATGAAACCTACTTACAATGATGTGTGTTTGGTTAAGATTTCTTAGCCTTTTTCTTCTCTTTCTCCTTCCTTTCTTTCCTTTCTTTTTCTCCTTTCTTTCTTCCTTTTCTTTTTCTCCTTTCTTTCCCCACAAAACCGTCCCTCTCTCTCCTCTCTTTGAAAGCTACGGTTTTGCAAAAAAAAAAAAAAAAATGACAAAGTTTTAAGCTTTCTTTCCATTTTTATATCACACCTTTTTAAAGCATTATTTCTTTCATGTTTTAGCATGCCAAGTGTTCAATTTTTATGGTAAGAGAGGTCAATTGATGGAGACAAAAAGAGAGGTAAATTGGAGTGTTTAACCTTCCAAAATTAAGTGAGAAAGTATAAATGAAAGTATGATGGAAGATTTTATGTCACATCACTAACTAAAGAGAGAAATTAAAAAATATCTAAACTAACCAACTTCTTTACCTAATTTGGTTCTTAAAATTCGGCCATGACTCTTAAGTGGGACATATTTTTCACTTGCATGGTCATTTTAAATATACGTTATGAAAAAAATAAATAATGGTTAATTAATTTCCAAAGAAAAGTATTCCTATGGATAATTCCATAAACTTTAAATATTTTTTCACACCACAAATATAAAATAAATGATACAAAATTTATACTCACATAATCATGGATATTTCAAGAGATATTTAGGCTCGAGAATTAAATTTCGGTATGGCAAAATTAATTTTTTTTTACCCAAACATCTTAAACTCACCAAACACAAACATGACACAAAAATCATAATTGTGACTTAGTAGATGTAGATAAAATTATTTTCATACGTATAACTACGTTAAGCAAGTTCATGGGAGTTACATTATCATTTAATTTTTTTTTTTACCACTCCCCAACAATTGGCGTAAAATTCAATTAATAAAAAATACTTTTTAAATAATGATCAATTAGACATTAAAGAGTTTTAAACTATGAATACGTAGAAAGGATTGAGCATACTAAACCAAAAAATAACAACAATAATAATAAAGTAGACTCTAGATAAAACAAGTCATCTAAAATATTAAAAAGATGCTCAATTAACATGAAACAAGCAAGGTAATTTTGAACAATCTATCCTCCGATTTACTTGTTTTTAATGCATTACTTTTAAAGACTTGGGTTTTCTCGAACAACTCTCTTTTAGGGTTTTAATCAACATGAAAAGCATGTCTTTTTTTTTTTTTTTCTCTTCAACAATTTTCACCATATATATTTAATAACTTCAGAAGAAGACCAACATTCATACTATTAGACAAATTAGAGGTTGACATTGCATGTCTTCAAGTTTCAAGAACCAAATGCCTACAGATGTTCAAAAAATAAAAAAGAACTAACCAACTAAATCGAAAATGAACTTAGACTTAGAGGACTAAATTGTGCTTCTCTCTATTCTCTAACGAGTAACAACACCCATGTCATCTCTTTCTAGTTTTGTAAAGCCACAACTAAAAAGGCGACAATCAAATCTAATTTTGTAGATAAATAAATAAATAATAATAACAATATAAAGAAAAGTCTTACTACAATTAAGAAAAGTGAAAACTGAAAACTTTATCCACTGCTCACTCAGTCACTTCATTTTGCGCACAAAAAATGCAAATCCTTCAGACTCCTCTCCCTCTCTTTTCTTTCTCTAAACCCCAAAACCCTTCCCTTAAACCCCACCATAAAAACCACCACCACCACCTCCTTTTCCTCCCTCGCCACCCTCTCTCTACCACCACCACTCTAACACCCCCAAAATCTTACAGCTCAGATGAATTCCCAGTTGACGAAACATTCCTCGAAAAATTCGCACCAAAAGACCAAGAAACCGAAGACGAAGCGCGCAGAAAAAACTGGATTATCCGTGGCTGGGCACCATGGGAAGAAATTCTAACCCCCGAAGCCGATTTCGCCAAAAAATCCCTAAACGAAGGCGAAGAAGTCCCTCTTAAAACCCCAGAAGCAATTGAAGCATTCAATATGTTATCTCCAAGTTACCGTTCACAGAAAATTAAAGAAATGGGCCTTACTGAAGATGAGTGGTATATAAAGCAATTTGAGATGAAAGGGGAGATACCGGATAAGTTGGAGACGGAATGGGCTAGTCCATTGGTTGTTAGACAGGTGGCACCGAGGGATTGGCCGCCAAGAGGGTGGGAAGTGGATAGGAAGGAATTGGAGTTCATTAGAGAAGGGCATAAATTGCAAGGAGTTAGGGTGAATTTGGAGGATTTGGAAAATGGGGTTAGTGTTGATAAGGAGAATATGTGTTTGGAGAGGTATAAGGTGTTTTTGAAGCAATATGAAGAGTGGGTCGAGGCGAATAAGGATAGATTAGAAGAGGAGTCTTATAAGGTAGTGTTTCAAGTGATGGAAGGGAGTGAATTTTCATTTGGATTTTGTTTTTTGGAGTGATAGAGAAGGTTTCTTCGATAGGCTAACGTGTGATTTTTTTATTTTTTATTTTTTATTTTTTATTTTTTATTTTTTTTATGTTGGTGATACAGGAAGACCAAGATTATTATCCGGGCCGAAGAAAAAGAGGGAAAGACTATAAAGACGGCATGGTAGTATAATGCTGCAATTTTTTTCTTTTTTTATACTGTTGAGTATCAAATTTTAGTTGTTGAAAGATAGTTATAATCGTTTTCTTTTTCTCTTGCAGTATGAGCTTCCATTTTATTATCCAGGGCAGGTGAATTCCTGAGCTTATTCTGTTCCCTGCTGAATCTTTTTAGTGTAGTCCATGGATAGGGCCATAGTAAAGTCTCAATTACTTGCTAAAATCTGATACATAGAACAGGAAATGTGATCTTATTTTGGATGAATATATCAAAGACAAACTATATTAATGTCAGCCTATTCAATATTCTATATAGGATCATGGCATGTAGATACATCTTCTTGGAGCTACTAACAGGGGCATGCATAGTTCTATCTACAAAATGATGATAATGTGCAGTTTGTGAAATGTTATTGCAGATTTGTGAAGGAAAAGTTACCACTATACATCTATATCAAGGAGCCTTTATTGACGTTGGAGGTGTGTATGACGGGTTAGTATCGTCACCTCATACTTCCTAATCTGGTTAGCGGAAGGCTAGATTTTGTCATTTTCTAAGTGTTTACTTCCCATCCATTTGCTTGAATTTCTGATTGGAGGTTCCTTATTTCAGTCCACGTTCATGTCTATGTATTTCAGGTGGGTCCCAATTAAAGGCAATGATTGGTTTTGGATCCGCCATCATATAAAAGTTGGCATGCATGTTATTGTTGAAATTCTGGTGAGCACTGTTCTTGGTATACACAAATACTTGTACATGTGAATGTGTCATTTATCTTGCTTGTTGAGTGGGCTTAACTGTTTTGATTAGTTCAATTTTCTTGCAGGCAAAGCGAGATCCTTATCGGTTTCGATTTCCGCTTGAAATGCGTTTTGTCTATCCTAACATAGACCATCTTATGTATGTGGTTCCTTTACACTTGCGAGTCTTTTCCTCTTAAAATTTACGATACCTTATTCTCTCGCCTTACCTAATGTGGGTGGCTTAACAGACTGGGTTACCATGTGGCCTTATATTGGATGGCTGGTGGGCCATGAGCCACATGGGTTTCTCCTGTTAGAAAGAGTCTGGTAGTGAAATTCCTCTGTCTATTTCTACCAGCTAATAACTAGTTAATGGTGCTATTTTAGAATGCATCAATAATTATATCCTTACCCCGTGGTTTTTTTAACATTTTTCCTACTCTTCCAGCTTCAACAGATTTGAATTTTCACCAGTATTTCATCGTGATGAGGATACGAACTTAGATGAATTGCGGGTCTGTATGCTTCCTTATAAAAAATGCAATTTGGTTATGTTTCTCCTTTAATTTGCCTATGATAAGCCCTTTTCCGTTTTAGTTCTGTTCAAGGTAGCCTCCTTTGTCGGCATGGATAAGGTCTCTCAGGTTAACCATGGGATAGCTTAGTATATTATGGAATATGGGTTCACATGATGAATTACATGCCGTCCACATGCTTGTATGGGCAACCCAATTGTAGCAGTTTATATGGCAGTGTCATATTTCATATGCTGTTATTAATTTGATGAGATAATGTCTATAGGATCTTTGAATTGTTCTCTAAATTGGTCAATATGGACTCAACCTTATGGTCATTGAAGGGTACTCGGATACTTTTGGATCTCCCATCTTAGTTAGCTGGGTCAATTAATATATGGGAAAGTAGTTTCTGAAGGGAGGTTTTTTATTATGGTAGGGTCTGAACAATATTAGTCTCAACTTCATTTTGCTAGTAAATTGTAATATATACTCTGTAATTTAATGTTTCTCTATTTGCCTTTCACTTGCACGTATGTTGCAGCGTGATTGTGGAAGACCACCTGTTCCTAGGAGAGATCCTGAAGATAAACCAGAAGAGGAACCTCTATTGTCAAATCACCCTTATGTCGATAAGGTGCCTTTCTATAGCATTTTTGTCACTGTTGTTTTGTAGCCAATTAATGATGGTCGATTAATGTCCAATGTGATAGTAACCTACCTACTTTAAGAACTATGTGTTGACCCTCCTTTTTAATAATGGGTGAACGTGGGATTTTTATGCAGTTGTGGCAAATCCATGTTGCTGAGCAAACAATTGTGGATGATTGGGAGGCTAATCCTGAGAAATACAAGGGCAAAAAGATATCTGAGTTGACTGATAATGAAGAATTTGATGAAGAAAATAGCATTGAATACACTGAAGCTTATCATAAGAAAACCGTACTGCCTAAAGTGATTCTGGTGATGCACGTCCTTCGATAATGCAAACATCGTTAGTCTGTTGAATTCATCTGACATCTTTTGTTCTCATTTGCAGAAAACGAGTGTTAAAGAACTTGACTTGGAAGCTGCCTTAGCTGAGCGTGAGGTCAATGATTCTTTTAAGTTGTTTATTATCCATATTTCTTTTTTGTTGTCTGTTTTAATATAGTTGGCTTTTCAATTATAATTTAACCAATGTTTATATTTCATTGGTAGATAGAACCATCTTCTATGTTCATGTGTTCAATGTCTGTTTTGTCATCAAGCCAGTTCCCATATGGCTTACCTTGGTTTCGTAGGTCAAATTAAGAGCCAGCCATGTAATGTTTATTGTCTCAATCCTTGGCTTGGAGAACACGAAATAGTTTATTTGCTATTTGCTTGGAGAACACAGATCTGTTATATTCATGCATGATAAACAACCCTCAAAATAGTCTTAGCATCTTTGCCTTTCAGTCTCAACTAGAAATCTATTTTGTAGATCGCTATAACTTAAACCTCCACTGCGACATAATAAAAGCTCCTCATAAATGCATCAAACTAAATTTCTATAGCTTTCTTATTTGACTTCCTATTTTCTTTGTTTTCTGGATGCAGTTTCATAATAAACAAAGAATGGAAGCAAAGGAAAGAGGAGAAAAATATAAAATCACCAAGCTGAGGCGAAATATAGAAATGGATGAGTATGACTTATTGCATTGGCATCGCTCATTTGAGGAAAGAGAAGCTTTAATCAGAGACATCAGCTGGTGAGTCATCTGTTTTATCCTCTCTCTCTCTCTTTTGGAAATATTTTGTATTAGTTTATGTAACATATCTTTCTTATCACGAGCTCCTTCAGGCCCTTCCTGTTTAGGTTGTCTAAAATAAAATCTGTAACTGAGGCATGATAATCATCAAGATTGATGTTATCGATGACAGGTGCTAAAATCATGCTCTCTGCTTTGGATTTTCTTGTTTATAGTTACTTGGTTCAACTTCTTCACTGTGATTGGGTTAACTGTTCCAACCATTTTCAGGAATAAGTTCCTTGTTTTTTTATGGTCAATAATTATGCTTTTTGATGAGAATCAAATTAAAGGAACTCCCCTTGGATAAGTTCCTTGTTTTTGTATGGTCAATAATGATGTTTTGTCTTTCAAGCAGAACATGAGCAAAGAAAATTTATTATTCATATATTCCAAGGGGAGTTCCTTTAATTTGATTCATGATCAAAACCTTGACTAATTTTTGCCTCTTTTTCTTTTCTTTTTTTTTCTTTTTTTTTTTTTTAAATCGCATGCACCCTATCTTTGATTGGCTGCATCACTTCCTCTCGTTTTCTCTAACTCTAAGCTGCACAATTTGTTGCAGCCGTCGAGCTCTTGGTATGCCATTGGAAGAGCCAGGAAGGTATAAGCCAGCAAGTTTCTTTGGTAAGGACCAATATGATCCTGAAAATCCATTGTACCGGTATGACTACTGGGGAGAACCCAAGAACTCAGAAAAGAGCAAGCAAGAGAGGATGACAGAGCTTCATAACAAATCTATTGTGGGAAAGGGCAATGTTTGGTATGAAATGTCTTATGACGATGCCATCACACAACGGATGCAAAGAGAAACCCGTGCAAAGGAAGTGAAGCAAAAAGAAGTGGAAGAAGATTCAGACAGAGATCATGATGATGACGACGACGACGATGACGACATTGATTTTAATCTTTTAGGTGACTTTGGTGTTAACTTGGCAAATCAGCCAGTAGTTAATGGAACTGAATCTGCTGGACTATCAGATGAGGGTATGTTTGACAATTAACATAGGCCATGTAGTAGCTGTCATGAAGCTAAAATGAAAATCAAAAATGGGATTTTTTTTTTTGCTTCTTCTCCCAAAAGTTGCAGCATAAATGATGTTCAACAATTTGCCTCCCTTTTCTCTGTTTCATGCCACCCTAATTGAATCTCATATTTTATGGCTTTTTTTTCTTTAAATAAAGTGACCAACGTTCTGGCACAGCATATGCGTGACAACCAACTGACTTTTCAAAGAGGTGGTTCTGAGGTTGTGAATAAAGCGCTGATTAATATGGTTCCACATATTCTCCCTTGAGAAACTCATTCGGAGGTCTCTGGACTCTGATATCATCTCTACAACTGGAGAAGGGAATTAAGTACAATCCAGTCTTCCATGCCACTGGATATTGCTTCACAAATTTCCAATACCCTTTTGACCATTAGGTTTTCGTTTGGTTTGGCTGATAATAATGCTAGGACCAACTGGCAATGGATGTAGAAATTGAAAGTTCCTAAGAAAATAAGGATGTTGATGGGTTCAGTTCAGCTTGGAAGAATTCAGAACGTTAGAGCTCCCTTTACGGGAGGATTGGCGGAATCTAATTGCTGTGATCCGTGTAGATGCGAGGTGGCGACAAAGCTCCACTTGTTGAGGGAATGCCCTGAAGCTTCCAGGATATGGCAGCAAGCGTTTCAAGAAGCGCATTGCATCAGATCAGCTCTTGAGGAAAGTACTGGATTCCTCCTGAAGATCAGCTGCTTAAGTTTAAAACTTCGAACGATTAAAAAAAAAAAAAATTCAGTGATTCTGAAACTGGCTTAGGAGGGGCCATTCACAACTCAGATAGAATGATATTTTACAGGATCTAAATTCGCGCATAAAGCATGAAGCCCATTCCAGTTCTGCAAGATTTTCATCGTCAGATAAGCTATGCTAACCAAAACCTTTTGAACCTCACCCTTTTTCCTATTCTTGAAATTCCAAGGAATGGTTTCTCCACTATCAACTTCACATTAAAATTTCACAGCAATACCTTGTCATTTGCCTCCTATAAATTTTTTTTCTACAGCCCAAATACCAATCTTATGCTGGCTATTCCATGCTGCCTTTGAAAACATGGCAATTGCAATCCACTGACATAACGTTGCTGCACCGGACAAGCAAGTAAATTAAACCCATGACGTGACGATCGTCACAGTCATAATCTTTCATCAAGGCCACTTAAATTTCAACTAACGGTATCATGCATTAGACATTGCCCAATTGAACTACCCTCAACCTTATCATGATCACACACGTGTCCCAGTAATGACAAGCTGACAACACTAAAAACATGACTAGCAATCTTGTGTTGGCACCACACGCAGGTCCTTTCCTTAGATAACAAAGCTAACAGTAACACTCAATCTCTGAATAACTATTGTTGCGGTTAAAATTGAATTCCCAATAATTCTCAAAACAATAGCGGTGTCGTTAAATTAAACCAAATTTGCAAAGTGCGAGCTAAAAAATTGAACAAACAAATCATGAATCATCATGGACAATACTGATTACAATCAATTAGTTAAGCAAAACCATAATTCAAGAGTTGTGACTAGCAACATATCAACTGAACTAGGGGGTGGGTGGATGGCTCATAAACAATTTGATTTATGGCATCATGGCTAGACAAAACGGTAGAACTATGATACTGAGTGATGTTCAAGGACAAAATAAAAAGAATATAAATTGATGACAGTAGCAAATCATGACTTGAAGGCATGCAGTAATACATAGCCTAGGGGCAAGCAAAGTTAAACACATGTTAACACTTGATAGAAGCACATGACCAATAGAATCTTAAAGCATCAGTCAGCAAGGGCATGGAGTTGATTATAACTTTCACATAAATCAATCATGGCATCTATTAAGTATAATATGGTCTAACAATGAAGAAAGGAATCGTGTTCTTTTGTTAACAAAGTAAAATCATTACAAGCATGAACTACAACTAATTCAATATCTCTTTTCAAGAATTTCTAAGCAACTAGCAATCGAGAAACAAGAAATGAGTTTATTCTCTAAATTTGAGATGAGGAGTTGAGCTTTACAAGATGCGACCTAAACTTCTTTTGGAGGTATTATCTTCGTAGAACCTAAAATATGTCATTGCCACGGATAAAATGAACTTGAGCATGAAAGAGGACAAGCCTTTCTCTTTTTAAGACAATTCTCCGCAAGTCAATTTTTCATAAAATCCAACACGTAGTTCATGTCCAAACCTCGACCTAATACCTCTTCTCGGTCTAGTCCGAGGTTTTATTTTAACTCATCATAACCGTACAATACCTCCATTATAAGTGTACTCGAGAAGAAAGTCTAATCCCGAACCGGTAATGGCCCAACTATCAAAATCCGTGCAAGATCAAGCTTCCAAAGCGGTAAAAATACAAACTGTTCACCATTAGAATTTCATGACCTTTCTTTGCTTATTGCACTCGAAAAGAAATATATAACTACACACAACACCCAATAGCTAATTTTATCTCATTTACCAATCTATCTCCTTCACATAGTGCCTTTCTCACCGAGTTAAACACTATTAAGATTCCAAGAACTGCTTAAGAAGCACCTAGAATTGAGGAATGAAAAAATGTTATGATTGAGGAAATGAGAGCACTTGAGAAAAATAAAACTTAGGAGATTGTTAAGTCGCCAAAAGGAAAAAAAAATTAATTGGATACAAGTAGGTGTTCACGAGTGAAATATAATGCATATGGGACACTTGATAGATATAAAGCTAGGCTTGTTGCTAAAAGCTATACTCAAACATATGGGGTAGACTATGTAGAAACTTTTACACCTGTGGCAAAACTAAACACCATTAAGCTATTATTATCTTTGGCAACCAATCGTAATTATATTTTACAACAATCTAATGTAAAAAATGCATTTTTACATGGTGATCTAGAAGAGGAAGCCTATATGGAAGCACCACCCGAATTCAATCAAGCTTTTGGTACTAACAATGTATGCGAGTTAAAAAAGGCTCTTTATAGCCTAAAGTAGCCTCCAAGAGGATGGTTTGGAAGATTAACCAATGCCATGGAATGAATGAAGTTCAAGCAAAGCCTAGGAGATCATAAATTTTTCATCAAATGAATCGAAGGAGAGTAAGATCATTGCCCTAATATTCTATGTAAATGATATCGGTATGACAGGAGATGATTCCGAGGAGATAAAGAAATGAAAAGATCACCTATCCATGGAGTTTGAGATAAAAGACCTAGGAAAAATCAAGTATTTCCTAGGAATCAAGGTTGCACATTCAAAAATTGAGATTTTTTTATCTCTCAATAGAAATATATCTTGGATCTAATCAAGGAAATAAGTATGATGGGATGCAAGCCTTTAGAAATTTTCATTGATTACCATGACAAGTTAGGTAAAGTCTGTACATAATCCAGAAGTTAATAAGGGAAGATATCAAAGGTTGATTGGGAAGTTCATTTATCTTACTCATACAACACTAAATATAGCCTATGTAGTAAGTGTTTTAAGCTAGTTTATGGATACTTCTTGAGAAATACACTTACAAACGACACACAACGTCCTTCAATAGCTCATGAGCACTCTCGGGAAATGAATCATATTCAAAAGAAATGGAAGACTCAACTTGGAAGCATACATAGATGTGGATTAGGTAGGTCTCCAATTGATCGAAGATCTACCTTAGGTACTACACCTTTCTTAAGGGAAATCTTATAACTTGGAGAAGTACGAACCAATTAATAGTCTCCAGATTGAGTGTTGAAGCCAAGTTTCGAGCAATGGCCCAAGGAACATGTGAGTTATTATGGATAAAAATTATTCTATAAGATTTAGGGATAGAATGGGAAAGCATTATGAAGTTGCATTATGACAATAAATCGACTATCAATATCGCATACAATCTTATTCAACATGATTGAACAAAACATATGGAAATTGATCGTTATTTCATCGGAGAGAAGCTCAAGAATCGACTCATTTGCACTCCTTATATCCCTACCAACAAACAACTAAGAGATATCCTAGTGAAGAGACTTCCTAGTACAACGTTTCAAAGTATCATCAACAAAATACGAATTGAAAATATTCATTCAACGAACTTGAGGAGGAGTATTGACAAATCTGTCTAGATTCATTGGATCAAATTCTCGGGGAAATTATTCCTTGATTTTCCAAGTAATAATTTCCTAATTGCCTAATCAATGTAAGTCGTGATAATTGGCCGTAATTACGACCATTAATTCGATTTCGTAATTAAAGATTTTCTAATTTAGATTGTATACTAAATAGTTCATACCCTTTATAATCTATAATTAGGTGTAAGCCTTTCTCAATAAAATAAGCATAATATTTACGTGTTCAAATGCCTAACTCGATTATGCCAAAAACTCGAAAAAATAAACCAAAAAAATTTAAAACGACTAATAACACAAATGAATAAAGAAATAAATAAACTCGAGCAAGCAATAGATAATAGTCACCGGCAACGATGCTAAAATTTGATAGTGAGTCATAATACCATTAAGTAATTATCTAATCTTTAATACTAGAGCTAGTGGTAAGTCTAGGTCGATCTTACAGAGACTAATCAAATTATATTTATGAGTTGTATTTATTGCTAAATTCAAATGAATAAATTAAGGAAAAAAGAGAGAGGAGGGTTTTGTAGTTTGAGTTTAAGTAAGCAAATAATTCAAAAGATGAAATTAAAAAAGTATTATATAAATAAGGAAAAAAATTGTCCAAGAATGAATTTTACCTTCAAATTGCAAGTTAATTATTGACAATACTTACGGACATTATTCATAATTTTATCATTTGATCTATATTAACCTAAAAACATAGATTAACTATGTTCTTCTTACTTAATCATCAAATCCAAAAAGCATATAATTTGAATCCTTATTGTTGAATCATATTGGAAAAACTCTCTATATGTAATTCAACAATAGCATTAACTAATTAAAAAAATCAAAACAAATAATCAACACATAAACTTGATTGGTTTAATCCGTACTCTTTTCTTCTAGACTTATAGTGATATCAAGATTAGAAATCATTAAATGTTATTGCTACTTATCGATAGGTTTTATAACTTTCACATATTGTAAACTCAAATCTAACAATTATTTATTGATCACAATTAGGCCTTCCTAAGCAATTAAGAATAACTTTCACATATTGTAAACTCAAATCTAACAATTATTTATTGATCACAATTAGGCCTTCCTAAGCAATTAAGAATAAGAACATCATTCAATTAACTTACAAGAATAAGAGATACTAAATATGAATAGATTATAAAATGAAATCAAAGAGTCTCATAACTTATTCTTTGAAGTTCGCATTTCTCTTGAATCGAAAAAGAAAAATTTAGTCTATTATCTTAAAAGTAAAAATGCAGAAATAAAGAAGTTCTCTTGTTAATCTAATGTGTTCTAAATGTGTTGCCCTAAAGGCTATTTATACATGTGTATAGATAAACATGATAGCCCACAAATTCTATTTAGGATTGTCTCCGAAATTAATTAGGACTTGTGACCTTCGGGTTCTATGCTGTATCTTCTAAACTAATTTCGGATTAGATGGCAATCGATTTTGGTCTTGAGCTCTTCACAAAAGTTTAACTCTCAATGTCTCCTTTTTATAGGCTTTTGAATAATCTTAATCCAATATGTATATCTCTAGATATAGTCCAAACACTAATCAATGTCCCGAATTGTCACGAGATCTAAATTCCTAACCCGACTTTGCAATCCACTTTGACAATTCAAAACAGAATGAATTTGTGCATTTAAACTGAATTAAAAGAGCTTAAGATGTCCACTTCATACTTCGAGAAGGCCTCTTCCATGTTCTTGAGCTCTAAGAAGTGAAATTTGTATATCTTACTTTAAAGGTCAATTTGTCAATAGTGAAATTTTGCTTTAATTAGCTCATTTTGTTCCCTAGCCTCCAATCTTCTTCTAAATCATAAAATAAACATTATTCCTCACTTATAACTTGAAAGAATACTCAAAAGAATAAATATAAGAGGATAATTTTGATCAATTATGTCCATTATTAACAGTCTAACACAATCAGGTCTCAATCCACAAAGAACTATAATGCAAAAGAGATGAACAGATATGGATGAAAAAAAAAAAAAAGAATTTTAAAGCAATATACTAAAGTAACTTGGACAAAGTATCAAACTCCTTTAAATAAAAGGTTTGCCATTAAGAACTCAACATAGAGGAGAATAAACTAGTCAAGAAATAAAGACGCGACCATACTAACAACAGATCATAGCTGCATTAAAAGCAAAACTAAAGAGAGATAGGAAAATAGAGATTGCACACTGGATTTATACTCGTTCCTCTCAACTTGGGAGTACTCCAGTTCTCAATTGACTGCCCTAAGATTTCACTATCATTTTCTTTCTACGAGTCATCCTTCTATAGATAAGTGAGATAGATTTCCACAAGTTCTGAATAAGGGCAGCGACTAGGATCAAATCAATGTGCTTCTCCATTCGTTTACTTGTTTTGTAACCTTGCAAACAAGCAATTATGCACATAAGCTGTCGGTGTGTATTTGTTACAAAGTGAAATTGAATAGTATGAATATCAGATGAAGCTCAATGTAGTGATTTCTCTTCTGTTTTCTCTCAAGACATCCCTCTCTTTCGAAATAATCAGTAGTGCTAATGCTAAGATCAATTAGCAGTGGATGTGGAATTGGAAGGTCAGTTCAGCCTGGAAGAATTCTGACTACTAGAGTTCCCTTCATGGGAGGATTGGTGGAATCCAATTGCTGTGATTCGTTGTGGATGCGAGGTGGAGGCAGTGCTACATTGTTTGAGGTACTATCCTAGAGCTACCAGGATATGGCAGCATGCGTTTCAAAATCTCAGTATGGATTTTTTTTTTTTTTTTTGGGTAAGCGATCTTCCAGACTGGATTATTGGATATGGCGTGCCTAATCGAGATTGCAGCTTAGACTTGCTTAGCCCAACAAGCTTCTCGTCACCTTATATGGTAACAGATAGATACACCAGGAATGAAGAGGGTATATTCATGGGTAGCTGCAAATCTCTACTCCCACCAGTGTAATGTTCAATTGTTAATTCACATTTGTGGACAAGCTTCGGGTACTTGCGCTGTCGTATGCCAAGAGCTCTGCAGTTGGTTCAACAGTAATGCCCTCAAAGTTCGAGAGGGATGGATCAAAGTTAAAACAGTTGAAGCTCAACCCCCGACCTGCCTTTTTGGATTGTTAGTCAGGTTTCTCAAGGCATGTTGGCAGCTTATTTTCAGCCCTTATCCCTTCAGCGTGTGAACTTAGCAAGTTCACAGCAAAATAAACTTGCTAAACAAATTTTGCAATTTTGCTGGTGCCTTGTTTCTTAAGCCTGGATTTGTGTCGTATCTTTTTTTAACCAATAAAGGGATCGTTCCTTGAAAAATATTTACAAAGTCAGAAACCAAAACTACTTGCTATTTTCAACCGGTAGATGGGTCAGCCTCAACTGGCCTCAACTGTAGTAGCAGCATTTTTCAAAGACAGCAAGTTATGCAACAAATCATTGCACAAATAACCGTATACCAAAACAAATCACAAGTCCTAAGAACGACGAACAACAAAGAGCTCAATGCCCATGTCATTCCACCATTCTCCTCAATGCTACCGAACTGAGCTTGAATATAGAACGCAGAAATTGAAACATCGCAGTCTCAGGTATTAAAAGAAATACGAGGAGAAAAAAGAAATGAAATGAATGCCATTTCCAGGTGCCTCAACTTTGACTATATTACAATTCCTGGGATAACTTACCTCCTGCCTATACCTCGAAGCTTGCTTTCCCCAACCCACACACCATACCTATCTCCCCCTTTAACCTAATGCGATGTAGCACTAACTTACAAACTAGCCTTCCCTTTTTACAAAACTTAAAAGGAAAATTAACAAAACCCCAATCCCCAACAACTCTTTCATTGGCAACCCACAAGTCGCCATATGCTAGCAGTGACAAAATGGTTTTTACCAACTTTTGAAACCGCATTCCAAACCAGGAACAAGAACAAGGCCAAGAAAACCAAAACTCAATTAACAACTGCTTATCATGTTTCCCCTGAGAGAGGCTTGTCCTTTTCGGTTGGTTTGCCACCAACGGAGAGAGGCTTGTCCTTTTCAGTTTGTTTGCCACCAATGGAGAGTTGAGACCTGATCCTTATCACAGGCTTGTATGCTGAGCTATTCACAGAGGATGCAGAAGATTATGCATGCCCATAGTTCTTACAATCAAATTTTATAGAATCCTTGAATAGCACGTATAATCAAAGTGAAAAACTAATCAATCAATTTCTCCTTCCTCAACATCTTTTGCTCGCTCTGAAACACTTGGGATTGGTTCAACCACTTCTTCCTCTTCCTCCTCATCATCTTCCTTCATGTATAATCCTAGTTGCTCCAATGGGTTACTACTTCCCTGAAGCTTGAAACTACCTAAACCATTTTGAGAAAGGTCTGGACTTGTTTCCTCTATGAAACTTGGAAGCTGCTCATCATGGGCTGTCCTAAGCATTTCTAAGTCTTCCATAAACTGACTGTTCTCATTGATATCAACAGTCTTTTCCATCTGCAGAGAGCAAGACAATTTTTGGTTCCATTCTAAAGAAGCTTTGAAGCTGGTCTTGCATAATGATGTAATCTTACCTGTAGCAATGCCTGACGTGCAGCCTCTCTTTCTAGTTCTCTCTTCCTTTTTGCTTCAGCAGCAGCTTCAGCTTCAGCTTTCCTTCGAGCCTCTTCAGCAGCCTTGGCTTCTGCCCGCAACCGAGCTTTTTCTGATATCACAGATTAAGAGATAAATCATTAATCTTGGAAACTAACATCACATGACTCAAAATTTATGGATGAATGATTGTGATTCCAAACCTTCCTTTTGCCTTCTTTCAAATTCTTCCTTTTCCTTCCGCAATTTCTCAGGGTCACGCTTTTCACCCTGAATTCAACATATCACCAAGTGAATGGTACACAAACAAAAACAAACATAAAAGCATGTAAAATCACAGCAATCAATAGCACGAATGTTGATGCCAAGACCTACCTTTTCGAGTGCTTTTTCTCGAGCTTTAAGTATGGTGTCAGCAAAACGGTTCCTCAACAAAGCTGCACGATAGAGCTTTTCGGGGAGACTTGCCTCTCAGGTGGAGCACTCTCCCCTATAATATTACACATGATGGGTGAGCTAAAGTCCCACATGTAACAGCAATCTTCTTAATGTGTATGCTTACCCTCTTGGTGGCCATCTGCCTCAGCTGCAACTGGCTTACCCTCAGTATCCAGCTCAACTTGGGTCCATCCATCTATAGATTCTGAACGAGGCATAGCAAGCAGCACTTCAGAATAAATTTGGCCAAACCAAACTCTAGGAACCCTAGAACAAGCATAATATGTAACAAAACCTAGAAACTTACGATTTCCAACATCTGAATCACCAAGATCACTTCTCTTTTGGTCTGCATTTTCTCCAGGTTCCATTTTCCCCTGTAATTAGCAGAAATGTAAGAGAAAAAAATGACATCATGCCTAAGAGAGAAGGTCACTGACTTAAGCCAACACAATATGTAGAATGCATACCTCAGCAACATTAATGGGACCAGACGCTTTAACTGCATCAGATTCACTACCAGATTCACTGCCAGAATCTGAATCTGAAGAGAGGATCACACACAAGAGTAAAAGGAGATCATTAAACTAGCTTTGAAGGCTTTCACAGATCAATTTACATATATAACCTTTTACAGCTATTAAATTTAAGAAGAAAGAAGCAGAGTATTGAATTTATAAAGAAAAAAGATATATGAATAATTATCCACCACCAAATTACTAACTACTTGGGGAAAAAATTAGGCAAACCACACATTCTTATGATTATTACACACAAGCCCTGTTAATAATTAACATCAGGAGGCAAAACACCATGCCAAAGCCAAAACAGAGAAGAAACCAAAAAGAAAACTTCCGATTTCCTCGTTCAGCCATGTGGCAAAACTTATGACCTGCGTTAAATAATTGGGAAATAGCTACCACATGGGACAAGTTTAAGGTTCTCATCTTTCATACCAATCAGCTATTCAAGGCAGAGGAAACAAATGCAAGACAAGTTTAAGGTTCTCACATTTTACACCCAAAAACAGAGTTCTTTGCTTGACTATTATCGTGTCAAACATCCATCAGGTCAAGAAATTCACATATCATGGGCTACTCATCCCTAGACAACAATTGGATGAAAAGAAGTTTGTTCCAATTACTTGATGCATAACCCAAAACAGTTCAATGCTAAAGGATGCCCTTTGGATTCATATTCACTTCTTGAAAACAAAAACACCAGCTGCAGTGAACCTTTCCTAATCATAACATTCAGGAAAACTAAAATTCATAGGAGTAACTAGCACATGGAATCTAAACAAAGTCAATGAGCCCACGGTTTTTTTTTATATAAAAAAAAAAAAAAAGGCAGGCACTTTCTTCCCAGGTGTGTGTTGCACGTATACCAAATTTTAAATCTCAAAAGCTTATTGGCACTTGGCCAGATATTGGTACTATGGACCTCCAAGTTGTTGAGAAGATCAAAATTTTTACAGCCAACATTTCTTGGCTGGCTTACCATTCCTGGCATGTTTCACCCAATCACAAAGTAAAGAGACTTCCCCTAGCACCTAGGATTTCAAAACCACCAGCTCAAACAGGAAAACATCATCTATGATTGGAAAGTTCACATTGTTCTGTTCCCCAACGTTGAACCTATAGCACAGGGACTCTGTTGCTCTGATCCTCAAGTTATAAAGTTAAAATGAACCAAAGTAATTAAGCAAGCATAAAATTATGAATGCAAATACTGTCATTTCCGTCAGGTGAATTTGAGGGTAGAAAGAATCACAGAAGTGACATTTTGCTGCCGGTGGTTGAAGTGGAATTCAAAAATTACTCAAGAATCCATCCATATCCAGGCAAATATTGTGGGATAGACTTCTTTCCTTTCTTCAATTCCCTATGGTGTACACATTTGGTGTGAGTTTCAAAAATATTGGATGAATCTTTTTTTCTGATCTATCTCTGTAATTGGTCTCGTGGACGATGTCTTGTTCCCATATGTGTATTTTCTTCACTTCTGTGATTAACAATTTTTCTTTTATATGCGAAACACTGAGCAGTAATTTACCTGCTTGAGATTATAAACTCAAACCTAACAAATTGCTTTGAAGCGTTTGAAAAAATGCTTCTTAACAGAGCAACTGTCCATCAACCTATAATAGAAACACGAAAGGCAAATGCCTGCATGCATGTACCTATGCTATAAAATCATTAAGAAAATAAGGCAATCCAATAAAATTGATCATGGATCAGCCCAAAAGGTGCTTTTGGTTGTTTTGATGGACCACAGTATTTGGCAACCTTTTTCCACTCTTAAATCACTTCAAAACAAGACAGGGCTTGTTAGATTCAAATATCCCTAGTGTTTCACTATTATCCACCACTAAATCAGAGTGTAGCCTCACCAAAGTGTGGTATCTAGTGTTTTCAGAGAACCATCAACATGTATACCTAATGCAAAAGCAAGACTGATCTAGTGTCAAAGAGGTTCAAATAAAAGGGTACCCAATTAGATGAAGCTCATGAGGAAAAAATACAACTCAATACCAACAATAAAAGCAAGACTTATTGAAGACATTTACACAAAGATAGCTGAAGGTAGCTCTTGGCGAGACAACAGGGAAGGAAGTCATTCTCCGTTGCAGCATCTTTGCATCCACCATACATAGATCAAGCAGCAGTAATGCCAGAGTTTTAGCTAGCATGTCTCTAACAAAGCTATTGACAAGGCCCGTGTTAAAGGAAGTCTTATAACTGTCTTTTAAATATTTCACTATCCTGCAATTTACTGAGACATCCGGTATATAACTAAATGAGTTCACAGCTCTTGAATGGGTAGGCTAACAGAAGGGGACCAGAATCAAATTGCAGCACAAGAAAAAATCAGAGCAAAATTTGAAGGATCATAAAAGGTGCAATGATAACATGATATTCAAACAGAGCTTTGTCAAAGTTTACAAAGGTGTGCATTTTGAAATAATATCAGAATATATTTTTGGCACATCCGAATCTCAACAAGACTTGGCTACTGTTCTTGCCAAGGCAACATTGTACTATGAAGTTAAGATGATCTCTTTCAACAAGAAAAAGGAATCATGGAATATGAATATGACATTCAGCATAAAGAAAAACATCTTAATGGGTATTTGAAAGATCATATTATCACACTAATGTCTATAATTTATTCCTTCACAGAAATCCAGAAATCAATCATAAACAGCAACATTGCTTATTTACATGCTCCAATATATATATATATATAAACAAATTTAGAAAAAGAAAGGTTAACAATAAAAAGGTTTATAAAACACTAACCACTCGAAGATGAGCCTGATTCACTATTGGAGGTACTTGGACTGCTATATTTACTGTTCTTATTGGCTGCTTCTTTTTCTATCTTTACTGGAGGGTAACTAGAAATAGGAGGATCATTTCCACCAACAATATCTATATCTTCTTCAACAGTATCATTGCCTAAAAAACAAGATTAATGAGTATTCAACCAGCAACAAATTTACCATGCATAATGCACATATGCCGCTTAGTATCTGAAGATGCACGAAAGTAGAATAAAAAATTTTACCTTTGCATGGTTGCAATGATGAATTACTAATCCCTGGCTCATTAATAATCTGAATCAAAAACACCATCGTGCATCAGATTTTTATTAAATGTTTTCAGGAAAAAAGAAAAAAGAAAACATCACAGCAAATGCAGACAAACATATGAGAGAAATAGGGGTACCTCCATTTCACATGGTTCAGCTTTTGATTGGTTTTTCTGCTTCTCCAGCAGATAATTATCTAAGAGTCTCCGTAAGTTGAACAATGTATCATCACCGAGAGCATCGATATCAATCTCAATCTCATCCTCGCCAGTCTGGCCAGCATTACCACTATGCTCTTTTAGGAATTCAATAATGCTTTCAGGCAATTCACCCAGCAATGCCTCCAACTCTGTGCTCAACTTCTGCTTCTCCTCATTAGTCATGACCCGCCTGACAGTTTCTGTCTTGACCTTATTGTCACTCGGTGTAATTTTCTTCTTTTTCAAAGGTGGAATACTAGTTGTTTCCATCTCTGTACACACGTCAGCTCTTGATGGCTTTGATTCCACATCAGTGGTAACAGGAAGCTTTTTCTCTATAACTTTCCATCTAACTTCAAAGTATTTACTGAGGGTCTCGGCCATGAAATGGACATCATTTCCAGGCGGGTTATACTTCATTGCATTTGAGAAAGTAAGTCGCACATCTGCAGCAAATCCCAATGGACTCGAATATTCACCAGAAACAATCTTGCTCTTTACTGTACCCAAATCCATAGGATGTTTAATGACAGTAAAATAATCAGGTATGTTCATTTTCACCACATCAACAGGAGTGTTGAAAATCCAGCCGAACTGATGTGCCATCAAACGATTTAGTAATGTCTCGCACTGTTTCAACAACATAGCAGTCGAAGTACCCAGTGGAGCAGCTGACTTCACTGGCTCAAATCGTCCTGATACACCCTTTTTGTTCGAGCCCCAGGTCGACCCGGAGGAGCCTGTTTCTTACTCTGTGGAGCTGATACTTCAAATGACCTATGGACACCTTCTAGTGGAGGCCTCTTTTGGCCATCACTGCAACTCCGAATATCACTAGAAGGCGATAATAAAACTGTATTTGAACTCAAAGAGGCCACTTTCCTCCTAAGGATTCTGACTTGTTCAAGTTCCCTTTTCAACCTCATTTCCAAATCCTTCCTCTCTGGCCTTGACATCTTTGACAATGACAAGACTTGTGATGGTACACCAAAAGTATCATAACCATCCACATTCAAACTAATGCATTTCCTCTTGGGAGCACAGGAATCTTCCGATGCTGTCATCTCAGTGTCAACACGTCCAGAGCTCCTAAATCCTTCTGATTCAGCCATGGTCTCAACAGCATGTCGATAGTCTGGAACAAAACCAGAGGAGTGCCCTTTAGAGAACTTCCTTGATTTCCCCATTGGTTGTGAAAGCCAACACTTTTTAGATTCCTTCTGTCCAATAAACTCTATAGGAACAGTCGGTGCCATAAGATTAACTTCCAATAACTGCACATGTCATCAACTTAAACTGTTTAACTTCTTATTTTTCCTCTGACTTCAATTTCAAAAAAATTCATGCCAATGATCCACTTCCTCTACCATACACATTTATTCAGTTTCTTTAAACTTCAACGAATCCGGTTTAATAAATAAATCAATAATTACTCTTTTTTATGTCCTTTTCTCGCAATTGCACTGAAAGTTTCAAAATTTTCACTACACTTTACAATAGTCGTCCTTTATTTATGAGCAGCAAAAACAGATCATCATCAAATTACACACTAATTGAATGTGTCCCTAAACCCAAATTCATCAGAATCAAATCTTCAACAAACGAGCATCAAAACCAAGACTTCACTGATCTGATTCAACCCTCCAAAAACCCAAAAACAGAGTTTAAACAAAAAAAAAAAAGAACCTAAAAACCAAATCTTATTCTCTGTCTCTCTCTCTCTCCCTCGCTCAAAAATTCAAACAAAAAGAGAATTTAAGAAATTAAAGAGCTTTATTTGGAAAACAGAACAAAATACTCACTAAAAAAAAAAAACCTAATAAGCTCCTTTCAGCAAAAACCCCCAGGAAATCGGAAACCCTAGATGGATCGAAATCGAAGCTAGAAATAAACGCATCGACACGAACACAATGTGACCGACATACATACATAAACCCTAGAGAGAGAGAGAAATCAAGGCTTATTAATCAAACCAATTCAAAACCTGGATCTCCCGCTTTCGCCTTGGATTCCAACAAACCCTAGAGAGAAAACCCTTTCTCTTCGCGATTGAGACAGAGAGAGACAGAAAGGGAGAAACGAGAGAGAGAGAGAGAGAGCTTCGCGAAGCGTGGGATTTAATGGGCTAGCTTGGTCCTCTTTTTAAAGGCCCAGTTCAGCCTTATTTGCCCGCCGCCATTAATGCAATCCTCACCGTTTAATTATTCGCTCGGTTAAATCTAATGGCTAATGGTTAATCAATTTTTATACCACCGTCAATTCGAGATCTAACGGCTCTGATTTACTTTCAGCCGTTTCTGCGTAGATTGTGTTGGATTTTTTTATAAAATCGAGCTTCTAGACTCTACTTTTTTTTTTTTCAAAATCTCTATTACTGTTGATACAAAAACACGCGCACCGAATAAAATACTCGCAGTAATTCGTTAATCCGAAAACGTTTACAGTCAGAGGTACCCGTGTAATGTTACTGTTGGAGCGTGTTCATCATAGTGACGTAAGGATCGTGGTTGGTGTTGGAGAGCTAAGGTTTATCTAGGGTTGGTGGACACGTGTTTATTTTTAACTATTTTACCGCCATGTGACGCGGCAAGTGTGGGCTGGTGTTTCGTTTCCCCCACGTGCTTGATTTTGTTTGATTTTTAGCTTGCTCAGCTTTGGACAAATCTTCTGGTCACTTTGACTTTGTCACTCTCTCTTATTTACTGTGGTGGAATTTTTGGCCAAGGGTGGTGTCTGGTAAAAATGGTTTATAAAATAATTGGAAATAAATTTTTCAGCAACAAAAGAAAGTACGATGGTGGTAAAAAAGTGTGATGTCGGGATCTTGAAATTTTAGCAGTCAAGTTTTCGGCTGCGTTAAAACTGTTACTTTGGATAAGGGAACTTTCAGATTGGTTCCTAGTTTTTCACTTGTACTGCTACTAATTTGATATTTGTACTGTATTACGATCTAGATAAAATAAAATCATTTCAGTGTCATATTTCATATTATATTATGAGTATATTAAAATAAATCGAACCAAAAGTAAAAAAATTAATAATTTTTAATTAAAATGTTTTTTAATTGAATCAAAATAAAAAAATTTAATAATTTTTAATCAAAATTTTGTATTTAATTGATTTTTCATTATATTTGTCATAAATTTTCAATTTAAAAAAATGATTTTTTTTGTATGTATTAATTCTTAAAAAAATATATAATAATTCAAATCAAAATTAAAAAAATCTTAATATTTTTTTCCATGCGGTTGTATAAAAAAATAATTTTTTTATTCTTTTTTAATGTTGAAGAGAATTCTATTTTTTGGAAGTATATATATATATATATATATATATATATATATATATATATATATATATATATATATATATATATATAATAAAAATTATTATAAAATTGATTTCAATAAATTTTGATTAAAAAAAAAAGCAAATAGCACATATAATGATGTAAAACCAATTTTTTAATTGATTGTTTTAAAAATAACTTTTTCTTTTAATTTGAGATAAAATATTTGAAATACAATTCTAATTTTTATATTATATATATGTGAGTAACACTAAATTTATCAACCAAATTTTTATTTTCACCACTTTTTTCGGATAATTACGAATACATCTTTCACCAATTAACAATTAATATTATATAACGGATATCGATGAAGGATGCATTGATAATTTTCTTTTAAAAAAAATGGTAGGAATAAGAGAGATAGAGAGAGAGAGAGTTATTCTCACTTAAAAATTATAAAAATTTATCATATAAATTATATTAATGGATTTAAAAAAAATCTCATTCTAAAATTTTATTTAAAAATCCATATATAAAGAAAAATAAATCATATTTGCTACCAAATAAAATTATAAAAAAAAATTAAAAATTAATTGGATAGGTTCATAAAAATTGACAAATCAAAGAAATCATCTTAAAATCTAAAATAAAAAAAAAAAAAAAAGTCATCCAAATAAATGACAAATTAAAGAAATCATATTTCTTCATCATCGGGTTGTATGAAAACCTAAAAACTAACAATTATTTTTCCATACAATAATAATAAAAAATTATCCTTTTTTTCAATCACTAGAAGAGAAGATACACAACAAGCTAGTAGGATGGAAGGGTAAACTTTTATCCATGGAAGGTAAGCTCACATTGATACAGTCGGTGTTGTCCTTTCTTCTTGTGTATACCATGGCAGTCATACCCATTTCAAAGAGGACAGTGAAGCACATTAATAGTTGTATTGCTAATATCTTCCGAAATCATAAGGAGGAAGGGCGACATCATTAGATTAGTTGAGAAAAAAATACCAAAACCTTATTCAGATGGGGACTTAGGATAAGGAACTTGTAGGAGGTGATGACTTCTATAAAAGGTAAACTAGCTTGGGCCTACCTACAAGGTGCTTCTTTATGGGCACAATTTGTGGTCTCTAAGTATGGCACCCATAGCTCTCTGAATATAAATGGGAATAAAGGTTCATTGGTCTAGAGGAGCTTACTGCCACGTATCCTTCTCATCAAGGAAAGGTCAAAATGGACAGTAGGTAAGGGAAGTATCTCATTGGAAGTATGGAGTTCGGGCAACTTAAGCTCCTTCACAAAGCTTTTAATGAAAGAGATACTGCAGAGTGAAACAACTATGGCATCACTCCCTCCATAATTCTTTGTGCTCTAAGTGCTGTTAGTTTATCACCTGATGAACCAGACAAGCTTGTCTTCACACAAATGACTACAGGTCTATTCAGTACTTCAACATATTGCCAACAGTTGAGGACTCCAGGATCTCAATTTGAGTGGTGGAAATGGTTTTGGAATAGGTGGATTCCTAGTAAAATAATTATCCTATCCTGGAAAATTATCAACAATGGCATTGCTGTGGATTGGAACATCCAGCGTTATGGTATACAATTGCCCTCCCACTGTCACTGCTGTAAACATCCAACAGTAAAAACGATGGAACACCTGTTCCTTCATAAGGAGATCACTGCAACTACTTGGAATTACTTTGGCCCTATACTCATTGTTCCAGTGGTATAGAGTAGCATGCAATCCTTAGTTAGAAAGTGGCTTCACAATAATAAGCCCACTAATAAAAACTCTTTCTGCAAGATGGTGGAGGGAGCTTGGAAAGCATGCAACAAAGCTTTCTTTAATGGGGTAAAGATGTCTGCAGCAGTAATCATCTTCAAGGTGAAGAGGTGGATATTTGATATTCAGTCTATGTTCACTCCTAGGTTTTGGCTATCATGATGTTCTTTGTATCCAAGCTTTATATGTTCCTCTACTCTCACTAACGATGCCAAGAGGTAAGTGGATTGTTTGGTCTCTTCCACCTACGCAAATGTTGAAACTAAATTATGACGGGTCGACAAAGAAAGGAATGTGCACTAAAGGAGGGGTAGTGAGGGATGGGAACGATAAGTTTATTTTCGCCTTCTCTTCATACTATGGAGATGGTTCAAATAACAAAAAAGAGATTGGTGTAGTACTGGAGGGAATTGAGTTATTCACACTACAACAAAAATAAGTTTTAGCAACGGATATTTAGCGACGGTCAACAAACCATCGCTAAATACCTAAATTAGCAACAATTTTCCACACTTTAGCAACGGTCTAAAAAATAGTTACAAAAATTAAATTTTGCGACGGTTTTTAGCAACGGTCCACCAATTCGTTGCTACTTTTATTGGCTAACCATTTTAGCAACGGTCTAAACCGTTGCTAAACCGTTGGTACATTTAGCAACGGTTTAGCCCGTTGCTAAAACCATTGGTAAATGTTATTTAATATTTTTTCAGCGGTTTTATAAAAAAAACCCTAAATAAAAAATATTTTTAGCGACGGTCTATTCCATTACCAAAAGGAAAATTAGCAACGGTTTGGTGTTATTAAACCGTTGCCAAAATATTCCTTTTAGCAACGATCACGGACCATTGCTAAACCGTCGCCAAATCAAACCGGAAACAGTTTAGCGACGGTCTTGGACCGTCGCTACCCCCGTTGGTAATTTGTTTAACGGTTGTAAAATAACCGTTGCAACGTTAAATTAGCTACGATCCCGCACCGTCGCTAAATAGTTGCTAAAAGTAACCGTTGGTAGGAAACGGTCAAATTAAATTTCGAATTTACTTTTAGCGATGGAGACCGTCGCTAAAAACTTTACCCTTCTATAAATAACAGTCGATCGGAATCTATCATTTTTTATTTTCTTCTCCTCCGACAGCGAATCTCTCGCCTTTTTCGTCTCCAATCC